TACGTTTGGTTCTTTGTTTAAAATGACTGTGTTTTTAATAGATATACTATGGTTTTTTGAGTTGCAATGGTGAAAAACATGGGACGGGTTTTTATTGTGTTCTGTCAATCTGGTTTCCAATTTTATTCCTGTTTCTCCGATGTAGAATTCTGGGCAGTTATTATCCATCTTAATTGAACAAAACAACTATACTCTAAACCAACACCCTGGGGTGCCAAGATACCTCTTCTAAGTTTGCAACAGTATCCGGTCACGTGACCTCTTTGTTCAATACTGTAATTATATATCTGTGTCAGTGTAAACTACTTGTACTTGATGATGACAAAACCTTGTCGAAACGTTGTACATTTGCTGTTATGTTAAACTTATATTAAAGTTTTTCTTCATTACCCATTCAAGCCGTCTCCAGCCATTATAAATGACGATAAAGAAAATCCGTGCTGCCACCACACGCGTTCAGTGGACTTGAGGTATTATAACCAATTTTAAATTCTTATATAAGGAATAAAAGAAGCTCCGTGGCAAACAGATTGGAGAAAGAAAATAATCGCAGGTTCCAGATTATATATTTACGATTTCTACAATTTCAGGAACAAGAAAGTTATATAAAAAGAAAAGAAAAACATGCGGATAGTTGAATTTTACAGTTCTTTACATTACCGACTTCAAAAATTCACTGTTTTAAAACTATATGAACTAAAAATAAGCTAAAACGTTTTTGAAAATCTGCGCATTTCCGAGTTTGTTTCTTCTGTTTATAAATTGTCTCTGTGCAACTCGAGTACTTATTTCTACCATTTGAATTATACTTCCAACGGAAGGCCAAAAATCGACAATTAAGGTTAAGGTTTCGATTTTTTAAATTATTTCATACAAACAAATGTTAAAAAATACACTAAATTAAAATATTAAATTCAACATTTTAGTTGTAATTTTATTTTGAAGGCAAGTTTTGGGGCTACATTTATATAAGTATAATAATACTATCTTTTGTCTGTTGTATGTCCATGTAACTACTTCTCAAGGTGTAGATGGAGATTCATTAAGTCCATACGAGGGTACATACAAATTTTCAGTTTTGCGTTTTGCGGTTTTATGGGCGTTTTTTACCACTACTTCGCCCCTGTTGATGAATCTTCACTAAATTTGGCATGAAGGCTTGTTGGATCCATACAGATATACATGCAAATTTGCGGTTTCACATGGCTACGTATTGAATCACAACATTACAAGAGTATTGTTACGTCTCCGTTCGTTAATTGATTTTCCGTAAATTCGTTCCGACGAAACTTTAGCGACACAAGTCCTTTCTTAAATAAAACTGGTTTATTCTTTCCGAATACAACTTTACGATACACTCAACTTCAACAGTCGCGCTATAACAAACTATAGCTCACGTCTCACGAGCTCTACTTCAACAATACATCTCTCTCTGACTGCAGTTCAATTACTCATTACCTACACACACATTGTCACGTCACGCCGTCACCCTCTTATATATATATACCAGCTAACCTATATCTAGTAAATACTAGGGCATTCACGAAGGAACGGGATATTTCTAGAAACGTGGCGTGACACTAGTCACGTGACCTCGCTGACGCAACAGTATGATTGTGTTGTACTACATCGTTCAGGTCCACAACACAGGCATGCCGATGTCTTGCAACATTGTGAGATCCTGTCTGTTCATTTAGTCTCCTGATCTTGAAGTTATAGCCATTTTTGTCATAGCCACAATAAGCCATACGATAGGAGACTCCACTAATAGTTGAATACCACAATTAGGACGTCAGGCTGTTTCTTTCCTTGCAGCAAAGTGAAGCACGGCCAGTGCAGAATCAGGAAAGTAGAACTGACACTTGTGGGAGTAGCTATGAGTGCAAGATGGTGTATTGTCCTATTGTTATCTTGTTATCAACCACCGAGATATGGCTTTCTACCTGTATTGTAGCTGGTGGTACCTAAAGTTCTGAGCTAGAAAATTCTTCAGACTTTGCTTAATGCAACGACTAGAGGCCTCCAGAGAGTTACATACATTTGTCCTAATGTGTGGTGGCAGTTTTAGTGTAAGCATTCAGATATTAAGTAGTAGTATAAACATCGTATGGAGTGTGTTGCTCAGAGGAAAAGACAACCTGAACAAGGTTAACTCCAGCAGAGAATTGTTGGATTTCCTTTATATCTCGGTTATCACTGGTCCTCTCCTGGAGACTAAATAAGGCAATTGGTATGTGTGGTCGTTATTGATTACTTTACTTGATTACTGGCAATTACAAATTTGTTTATAGTTCATGGAGGTTGTATTTTCGAGGTATCAGCTGACCGGCCATGGGAAAAGATCGCCGTCTTTTTCTACAAAGTATGCTCCAATTTACAGGAATCCTTCACACGAGAAGGCAAATGTGATACTATAGTTTACTGACCAAGTTCAGTAGATAACTAGGAGAAGGGAACTTAGTAACTCCCTTGACAGACATTCTATATTAATACTATGTACCAGTATGTATGTAAATTATGAAAGATTTGTACTAAATAAGGGGATGGGAAATATGTAGAGTGCCTACATACCACAATATATCGAATTAAATAAATAATGCAATAAAATAAGTTTTAACTAACTCCAGTATGGATATTTTGCATTCAGTGTTGAAGTATTTAATTAGCTTCAATCTAATATTATGCAAAATACTTCAATGATCCATTTATTTAGTTTAATGGAAGGAATTTTTGTGTTTACATTTTATAATAAAGAAATAAGAGCTGTCATTGAGTGAAAAACATAAAACAGATTAAGCCTTATCAAGGCAATTCCAAGTAATAATAGATGTAATTTTCCTCACGATGTCTTTCTACATGTTAATGTGTGTTAATATTGCTTAGGACAAATGTATGAAAAGTTTTCCTTATCGATCGAAGTCTGAGTTAGATATGGCTGCTGTTACTATACAAGCCCATTTCCGAGGATATTGTACACGGAAAGAGTTAAAATGGAGGCGAGATGCAGCTGTGAGAATACAAGCCAGCTATAGAGGATACAGTACTCGAAAAACGTATAGTGGTTTTCTAGGCAAAGAACGGGTAAGGTTTTGTCTATAAAATACAACAGTGTAACAATTCTTCGTACATGAAAAAGAAAATTGTTGTAAGTAATTTAATGTTATTACCGTAGATAATATATGGAGTTATATGTTGTTGTGGGCTACATATTTTTTCTTTTAATGTATTTGTTCACTAGAGGGAGTTTTTTTAAATGAGTAATGATTGATGAAGTTTAGAAATTTAATGAAAGTTTAAGCCTCGCTGTAGAATCTCTAAGTTTCCTGTAGTATATAGAAAACTAATACAATATAAAAATGCCAGACTGAAGAAGTTAGAGTGCATCCGTTTTTCTGTGATTCAGTTAGTAAGTGAGACAGTCAGCGTGTTTATTGTTATTCAGTTAGTGAACAAATTTTGCAATTAAGTTAGGCGTACATTAATTTGGAATTTCAACTGAAGCATTGTTTGTGATCGTGAAGTAGGCCTACCATTAAACGCAGCTTGTAACAAGCGTTATTGAAGAAATGAATTCATTTGTTATAGTTACGTATACTAGAGTTTGCATTACTTTTACTAAATAATCCAAGGGAACCCAACAATAGAACACATCACAAACAAATGCGTGGGGGTAAAAATGTTTGTGCCGGAGCACCAACTAAGTCCTAATAAATTTCCATCTCTTCAATTATATATGCACACATAGGCTGCATTTTAGACATTTAACTCGTTCATAATTACCAGCCCTTACCAATTAAGTTTATATATCCAACTAGCATGTCTGAGTCATCAAAAAACTATTGATATATGATCTTTAGTTTATATAACATCTTCACATCACAAAAGATATATCTGTCTGTAATTCTATTTTCTACATCATCATGTTGCACAAATAATGTTATTATTTTCAAATATAATAACAAGTTTAATTCAAGTTTAATAACATAAAATACTCTAGCTATAACTTAAATTTATGTTAGAAATATGTTTGCTTATTTTAATCACACCAAAAAAAAAGTAGAGGAGCAGTTTTGGTCTACTCTAGTCCTACTTTACCACTGGTCACAACACTGTGTTAGAAGTTGAATTGTTTTAATGAGAATACTTTAACTAATCTTTAAGATGACAAAATGTGCACAAAGCGAGGTTGGAAATTTGCTAGAAATGATAAAACATCATAAAGAAAATCAAACAGAAAGAGACAGAGCATTAAAAGAATATTAAGAAGAAAGAGACATAAAATTAAAAGAAGGCCAAGAAGAAACTTATAGGAGTAATAAAATATCTAGAAGTAAGAGACGGAAATCTAAGAGAAGAGGTTAAAGAAAGAGAAGTAATATTTAAAGAAGTACAGAAAGACATCTATGAAATGCATAAACATCATAACAGCAAGATTAAGTAAGTAGAAAAGAACATCAATAACAGAATAAAACAATTGGTAAATGCAAAGATAAAACAACCACACATCGTTCAGCATTTGCCCCAAAAAATCCAATGAAGAACACCATTAAATATAAGATAGGAGAACCAACTTTGTCTACACCTGTTACGCCATCTGTGACTGCAGAACTTTCCTGGACTACTCCAGAATTTAGCAATCCAGTTCAACAACATTGACCAACCGAGAAGCCAATGGTATATTATAGAAAAGTACTATGGGAGGCATATTAGGCTTAATTCAAAATAGTTTCTAGAGTGAACAGGTGGAATAGCGAACAATAAGTTATTCATCTTTCTGCCATTAAGCAACCTTCCATCCAAGAGCCGTAACAACTATCAAGCAATGGTGTCTGCCTTATCATTTAGGTTTGGAGTGACACACAATAAGGAAGTATCTAAAGCAAAGTTTAGGAACAGTGTACGGAGGAAAGAAAAAAGCCAAAGTTATGGAAGATTTGGTAAGACTCGCCCAATTATCTTACCCAGATGTTCCACGTAAAATAATGTTTTCGTTGGCACTTGACCAATACATAGATGCCATTACAGAAGAGGATATGAGAATTAGGTTGGAGTAAAGTAGGTGTACATATTTGAAAATCTCTCTCCAGTTAGAGATTGAAATAAAGTCGCAAGTAAACAAACAATGGCACCATCTGGAAGTCATAGGATCATCGGACCCAGTAGTATTGAACATCAACTCTTCCTAACTATAGTCTATAAGAGCTGAAAAGATTAGTTAGAAAAACTACAATAGGTGTTTCAAATGTAACTTTCAGAGGACATAGTGCAAGGAACTGCAGAAAAAAGATTGTAGGGAATACAAATTCCTCCAAAAGGATTTCAGAAAAAGGGAATTGTTACAAATATGAGAAATACAGGTCCATTACAGCCGTGACCGTGAGGAATCAACAACGTGAAAAAAACTTCCTCTAGTGAACTAAAACATTAAAACTAAAAATATAGGCCAGAACAATATTAAAGTATTCTTACTGTTCACATTTAACTCCAACAGCAGTAGTTTTTCAATTGACTTTGGAAAGAGTTTCTTGTAATATGTTTTTATCAATATTGTAGAACAGAATGTTGGTTTAAAACAACAACTAACTATATAATCAAATGTTCATTATACTTAGAAAGAATGTATTCGATTCGACATCATTGTAGGAAAACGTGAAGTTGTTTAAAGTCCAAAGATGCATATAAAACAACAAGTGTGCTAGTTGCTATGGAGAATCGTTTAACAATACTTCACAAAAACATCTTTCTAAGCATGAATTTGGGGGGCTAAGGAGGAAGCTGCCTACATCTACTACAAGAGTCATTAAATGTTTTATTCAGAAAGATAATATTAATCGATTAAAATTAATTTTTGTACACCTATGATTCTCTTGTTTCACCCTTATACTCTTGAACATAGTATAAACAGGAAGCGAGTCCCCCCCCCCCTTCCTTTTGCAAAACAGCCGGGACATGAACCGGTTTCTCAGCTATTTACGGTAATTCCAGACTGTAAATTTAAAACTACTTAGTTGTTAATCAAAGGTAAGTATATTATTATAAACACTTATTTACGTGTAATGTCTAAAACTAGTCCAACGTTTATGAGCAGGTAAAAAGATGAATTATGAAGAACGTATTAATTAACAGATAATAATATCTGACAGTGTAACTTTGTGTTTAATAACAAAAAACATAAAAGTAAACATGAAAAATAACTTATAGTTTTAACTAAAAGAGACGTGCTAGATTTGCAAAAGCAACTTATCAGGGCAAATAAAAAACCTAAAAATTTTCAATAGAAATATTGATAGAAATTATTCAATAGAAAAATTATGACGGTAAAAATATATACAAAATTCAAATTTTGTAAGTGCAGCAAAAATGAGTATAATAAGACGTAAGAGTAAAGACTAGTTCCTCAAGTTAGGAACGAAAATTAGTGGGAAGGATTACTGTACACTTGTATTCGTGAAAAACGTGGGGGTGGGTGGAGGGGTTGTTCACAATCTATGGCAATTATATGCATAACCAATCACCTTGACCCTGACTATTCTCGTGACATATAACTATACAGGTTAAAACCTCTGAATCTCTTTTGCAATTATATTTATGTTTGGTAATCAATAAGTAAAAATGCAAATAAATTAATCTTATTGCAAGTAAAGAAGGACTTACCCACCCCTTCCGGAACTGTTAACAAAATAGTTCAGGTGTATTGATATCTACACAAGCAACACAAGAGTTGGATGGACGGTATCTGGTTTGTAACAATATCATCACTCTGGATGAATCATACGTCTAGTTACGTACTTGTAATAAATTCTGGTGATCTGTTAAGGTCCCGCTGATAATATAACATTTAACAAATGGGACAGAGAAAGATATTCCAGGGTATATATTGAGGCTATGTGCAACAGCTATAATGATAAGTTAAACACCTGGAGAATCGAGGGAAATGCAAAACTGATTTCTGCATACAGTCAGGTTAACGTGCTGTTACCACAATACTGTAAAGAAATACAATCTTTATATGGAGTGGATACCAGCCTTGTCAAAACTAATAATCCAATCACACATCCAAGCCAACATACAGTTCCTCTGCCAAATGCAAGAACAAATTAAAATTAATAACCTACACAATTTGCCAAAATATTCCATGGACTTCTGTATTTTTGGGTTGCCCAAATAGTCCTTTGAAAGCAATAGTCCGTGTACAGTTAAATGAGCTTAGAAAACATGTAATAAGGAAGGAAAGAACATTAAGCTAAGGGTTTTGCGTAAAAGAATCCTGTAAAAAAAAATTACATTGATCACCATGGCTGTCACACAGAATACTGCTGTAATATTTTCTATTACCGGTGGGTTCTGTTTGATTATTTAGTAGAAATAAAGCAAAGTCCAAATCCACTTAACGATAACGTAAGCCAGTTTACATTCGTTGATAGGCCTAACTCACAAATAAACCTTAACAGTCACTTATTCGTTAATTGTCTTCTTGAACCTACAGCACAAACTTAAAAATGTAAAGCTCTGAGTAACTAACTTACTGATTAAATTTGGTGTGTTTTCATACAACATTTGTACACCCACATATCTCACGAAAATTCAAGATGTTACATCAATTCTGGACACTCAGGAAATTTCTAGGCCACAGAAGTCATTACTATATCGTGCTAAAACTCCTTATAGCAAACAAGTGAAAAACATCTAAATTTAAAAAATCCAAATACAGCCTGCAATGATACCATATCAGTGTTGAAAGAAATGTCAGTAAGGCTCAAATACTCACACTTCTATTGTTACCTAAATAATGAACACTATAATATAAGTTATAAAGTATATTTTAAAAGGTAGAGGCTCTATTAGGTTTCTTTTTTTTTCCCAACATTGTGCTGTAATGTAAATCTGTAAGCAAATAACGTAGCTTCAAATTTTGATTTAAGTTTAACGATATCAATGCAAGGATTGAAAAGAGTTAACGTATAATGGGATTTATCTTAAAATGTATACATTCCATTTCGCTCATTGTTTAAGTCACATAAGTAAAACATCAGCCATATTGTAATTTTGTTTCTTCTAAGACTGAATCCTTTTATGTTTTAAAAATGGGACTGAATATTCATAAAAGACTATTTTAAACACTATAAATTATTTTATGGTATTAAATAAGTCTTTGAGTACAAAGAGCTTAATGCGCAACATGCACATGAAGATCTCATTGCCAGTTATCAATTTTACATCTCTCTTTTTTTTTTCAGCGACTTGGAAGTGTGTATTCCTATACAGATCCATTTAATCCGGATCCATGTCTCAACATCTTGCTAGCTGCCAAATCAAATTGTGAAGAAGTTATTGCCCCTGACTGGTTCAGCTACCCAGCTAAAGTATTGTCAAGACTGGTCGGATCAATACAGATGACAGAAACACCTGTTATCTTAGCAACAGGAGGAATCAACCCAGAAAAGACTTACCAGATAGTAACTAGTAGGAAAAACTATTATATTATTCGTTTCTTTTGGACTATAATAATACCATAATTACACGTAGTTACAAATATTCTATGTTTTTTATTGATTTGAGATTTGTATGTGTGCGTGCGTAAGAATTTAGTATAGAATTGATTTGATTTTCTGAAAAATAAAATTACAATCACTTTATTACAATATATATATCGTTGCGTCAG